TAGGCTTCGCACCCGAGAATTTTATTATCAAAATTTAGTATCGAAAAACGCTAATAAAACGGGTCAATTTTTCTTTCCCGTTTTATTAGCTTTTTTAGATACTAATTTTTAATAATAAAATTCTCGGGTGCGAAGCTTAATGGTGATGTATTTAATTGTATTAAATTAATTATTTTATTTTATATATTTTAAACTTGTTTTTTTTTGTTGAAAAATAAATCTTGATAATATCAATAAACTATTGATTATCATAATCAACTTAAGTTCCCAAATATTAGATTTTTCAATGGCATATTTTATTTTTTTCTATTTACAAACTAAATTTCATATAAAATGTTTTGCGTGGAAACCAAAAAAATAGAAATGATTAAGCACAACTATAATTGTTGAATTAAAAAAATATTTTATTTAATACTATTTTTACTTTTTATAAATCAAAAAAATAAAAAAAATTGAATGAGTTTTTCAAAGTTTAATTAATAATTATAAAATAGAACAAACCAAATTTTTTTTGATATTATCAAATTCAGGTAATTATCTAACAAAAAACCCAATTTTTAATAGTTATTTTATTGTTTACTGTTTTACTTGGAATATATTTAAAAATATATGATTGTAAACAATTTCGTACTTTTGCCAAAGTGTGTTCTTTGTTTTCTATTCTTTCATGATAATTCAACAAATTGATTTTTGTATGATAAAAACAGTCTCAATTAAATACCATTGGTATAAAATACCAATTTAAATACCTTAATAAAAGCTCATTTCAACCCCCTTGTTTTCAAACGAAGTTCTTAGAGTTGTATTTTTAGATGAACACATCTGAAATAGAATAATTTGTTATTACTCTTGATTACAATTTTTTTCTTTACGACAAATACAATCGAAATTTTTTATACATGATTGATACAACTTTTTGCATCCACTCTTCAAAAGCACCTAAAATCAAACTCGAAAACTCATTATGTCAGGACACAAAACCGTCATATCATTTGTGAAGCATTCACATTCGTTTTCAACAGACAAAACACCCACATCAAAAACGCAGACAGGTAACAACACGACACCCCGCGACTTTTTTGTCGAGACGGAGATCTCTTCCATTCTCACGAAACAAAACCACCTCAACTACATCTCTGAGGTGGTTGGTTCCCCACGAAGTTCCCCTCGCGTCGCTGTCGAGCGCTCTCTCAACCCTGGCTTGTAATTGAATTGTATTTTCAATGTTGTTATGCTTTTGGACCAAAACATGGAAGTCTTTGCTTATTTTGGAGTAACAAAGAAGTGACACCAAATACATACAACAGTAAATTAAAAGGCATAGATGCACATGAAGATAAAGGAAATTAAAACCTCTGTTGTGAATATCATTAACGAGAAATTTCCCATCCATCTCGTCGACACACTCTTCCCTTTGCGCGACACGACAAACGCCATTAACCAGAAACACGCAATGCAAAACCCGAGAATGAAAAACATCAACGTTAAGTTGAATGTGGCTGCCTCCTTTTGAGCCTTTTCAATGTCTTTTTCATTGAATAGTGGTTGTTTTTCTTTGTGTGAGTCATCAACGTAAATGGTGGAATGTTGTTGTGGTGGTACCATGTAGGCGGTCTCAGTTTGGTAAGTCTGTGGCATGTAGTAAGGTGGGGCCTGTTGTCCAGCATATGAAGTAGGCGTGTAATTTTGCTGGTAAGTATTTGGGTTATATGTTGGTGCCTGTGGAGGGAGAGGCATTGGTGGTTGTTCGCCTTGTACATCTTGATGAAGCGGATCACTTTGTGGAGTAACCACCTGTTGGTTTACTGACATCAAAGAAGGAACAACAGGGGCATTGTAGGTTGAGTTTGTATTTACGTCTGGTGGTGGTAAAGTTGATGACATAATCTTTTCTATCTTTTTGAGTTTGACAGTTCAGAATAGTTTTCATTTATAACATATTTTTATAAAAAGAACTATTTTGTTCTTTATTGGATCTAAAAGAATAAATTTTCAACTAAGTTTTTCTCAATTGAAGTTTTGGATTCAATTCAATAAAAAATCGGATAATAAATGTATTATTGTTATAGTTAAATTAATTTATAGAACAAATAGAAATTGTCTTTAAAGAGAAATTTTTTTTTTAATACACAACTGTTGATGAAGAACCTTTTGTTGTACTGAAAATGACACCAATGGACTAAACGAATAAAAGTGTTCAATTAGTAAATGGGTGTATTCAACTTCTGTTGTTTCACAAAACAATAGCAGTATCAGAGAGGGGGTTCTGTGTGTCGTCCAAATTCATTGGCTCATCTTCGTCGATCCTTTGAAGTGGAGTTGGGTCTAACGTTTTTTGTGGTTTCTCACTCCTTTCGTCAATGGTTCTTGCAAGTTCGAGGGACTTTCTGTCGTAGATAACAACCTCGTGGTTGTCTTCAAGTGGGATTTCAGTTTCAACCTGGTTGTAGGTGTTATTTTCTTTGTTGTAGGACCCATACGTAATTACAAACATCCCGACCAACAGAACGAAGCAAGAGATTGACGTTGTCAAATTAAAATCCACAACAGGGACAATGGTCATGTAGTAATAATCATAAGTCGTTAACCCAACAATCAAGGCAATTGTTATTGTGAAGATTACATGAATGACAAATTGTTTAACTTCCATGGTATGTCTCAATATGAAATACGTAAAGAAGCACGTCGCTCCACAATACATCACATTCACAAAAGATAGTGCACATATTAACACATACGCTTCGATTGGTTGATGGAATGTTGTGTAGTTCTTCATATTTTCGATGTTGTTTAACAACAACACAGCAACCATGCAACAAAACTGCCCGAGTCCAACTCCAATAGCCAACAGTATGGCACCTCTGTGTGGTATGTACTTCTACTTGTAATTCATTTTTAGTGCTTATTGTATAAGTGTTATATATATTATATTTTATATTATATAGTGTCATATGCTTATAACCAAAATAAACAAACGAAGCTCATACATATGAGCAATATGATGTAGTACAAAAAGAGTGCAAACAAAAAGAGACTCTGAAGCGTTTCCAACGCCCAAAGAATGTATGAGCTTTGATACAAATACAAGAATGAATAAGTGGAGTCGAACAGTAGTGCGAAGAATAAGACAACGATGATGTAAATGTGCTCAAAGTACCACTCCCTCATTGGTGTTTTCCTCCATTTAAACAACAAAAATGTAATCCCAACAACCTCAATTCCCATCGCCAAAAAGTGAAGCACATTTGTGAATAACACGTACCAAAACGACTTATATTCGATGATAAATTCGAGTACACCAAATTTACTCTCTGTTTGTATTGAAACTTCAATGTTGATGGCTTTCTCTCTTAACGGGTTGACAGACACTACTAAAACCTTCTCACAATATCCTGACGTACAACTTGTGTTAAACTCGTTTTCTTTTTCAATCAAAAGTTTGTTGTTTGTGGAAAACACTTGGCTTGAGGTTGTAATTTTCTCTGTTGTTGTGCCAATTTTGTTCACTTTCAAGTACACGTCGACGAACGAATAAAAAGGTTTAATTTGTGTGATATTGATGTTCCTTTTAAACGTGTTTTGTGGTGTAGTACTGATAGTCCCAATTTGAACCGTTTTAACTGGGATAAAAAAAGCAAACGCAAACGACAATAAGACTGAAACGAAAATAGCTACAGTCACAATCATTGAAATAGTTTTGTGTTGTTCGTATAGTGTCTGGTGTGGTCTTTTGTTTATTTCCATTTTCTGATTTTAAAGTTCTTTGTTATTTTTTAACCTTGCAAATTTCTAAGAGCTGTTGGCAATTTCTTTGAAAACAGTTGATATTGTGTGAACAATTGCACAGTTGTACCCAAAAAGTTATTTTTGGTGGAAAATATCTTTAAATGCCCTGTTACAGTAAATAATCAAATAGTCAATCCATCTAACTCTTTAATGACTTTTTTCTAAATGAATTTGACTTTTTTCTTCAGAAACTGGACTTTGTGTTTTGAACCAAAAATAGTTGATGATTTCATTTACATCTTTCATTCATCAATAATAAAAACTAACTCTTTTTTATTAAAAATAAAGAATGAAAATATAACTTAAAACCAATTATTCATCAAGTAAAACTAAAGCTATATCAATTTAATAACCCCACTCACTTACTTCGAGACAGATGTGATGGAGAGTCTTTAAATTGAGAAAACAGGACAAAGGCTTCTGAGAGTGTCGAGTTCATATCGTCATCAGTCCATTCATTGGTTGGGAGGTTTTGTAAAAATTGAACAAGGTCTGCAAACTCAAGGGTGACGAGTTTCGCGGAGTACTTTTTGAGGATTGCAACGCAGACGTAAAGGTGGAACACCTTAAATCCGTTACCATCTTCATCTGAAAGGTATGTATCCCACAACCTCAACCCTTGTTTGAATGAAAACTCTCGAAGCAAAAAGCAGTTAAACCATCGGAATGCAAATTGAATGATTTGGATATTCTCTTCATTTAATTTGTCTGCCAACTTAGCGTCGACTCTTTCAAGCACAACATTCATTTCGTCAAGTTGTTTGTAAATTGCGCTTTGCTCAGAAGTGTAGTGATCTTGGATGTTCTCAAGGAGAGCAGAAAACATCCAGTAGGTGTCTGCTTCGATCCATTGAAGCTGAGACTCATTAAGGTCGTTCATCACATCTTCGCCAATTTTCATTGAAAACTCCTCAACGTTGACCACCAAAAGAGGGACAACCAAATCGTTTAAACCCTGCACATATCCACATGCTGGGTGTCTAAGTGCGTATAAGAATAATATCCTTTTCATTGCGTTTTGTATTTTGTCAACAAACAGCATTGGGATAGTGATGTTGCTCCTCATGATGTCCATAACAATTTGTTTTCTAATTTTGGTTTCATCATTAGTCTCTTCGTTCTCATCTTTTGGTATTGTTTTTAATAGTATGTCGTACTCCTTCCTTTTCTTCTCGAGAACTTTCTCAGTTCGATTCTTTTCTACAGGAACATATCGAAGTAAATATTTCCAAACCTGCCACCTCCACTCATCAGGAACACCATGCCAACTGATGTTGAATAATTTTTTTAAATCAACAACAGGTGTTGATAAAACACGCTCAAAAAGCGCGCTGCGGGACATCAAATTAAAAGTTCACAACCATCTTTTGAAGTTCCTTTGAAAAATGACCGAACTTGAAATAATATTCATTTATTGAGATGAGTAAAGGAGTTGCAGTCCCCATCGAAATCACGCTGACCCCACAGGGAAAATCTTACACTGTAGACCTCAGGTGGGCGTGTTGGTATGTGTGGAAAGTCGAAAACCGCAGATACTCAGACTTTCTGAAGCTTTTCGAGCTTTTGTGCGAGAGGTACGACGAAGACGACTACCCAGAGTTTCCTGGCAAGTTGTTAGTGCACAGCGAAGAGATGCTGAACGAGAGGAAGTATGACTTAACACTCTATAGCTCCGCTTTACTTACGTCCACTACAACTTTTTTGGACCCCGTCGTCATCACTTTTTTTAAAGTGCCAACAATGTTACTTTATTTGTACCTCCCACGCCCTGTGAATTATTTTGGGCAATACAAAACAATTCTCGAGCAAAGCACACTCAATGAAATGAACGAATTTGCAACAAAAATCGAATTGAATGAAGAAGGCGGGAAAAGGTGGTCAAAAACAATTAGAACGATATTGGGCGCAATGAAATGTGCACCACAAGACTTTGTGTTCACCGTGGAAGAGTACATTAACCCAATGAACGGGGATATTCACATTCCACCACCAACTATCATTAATGATGATAACATCTACGCTTTCAACTCAAGAATCAGAGAACTCATGTCAAAAGCAATGGACTTGGTCGAGGTCTCACAAAAAGAACTTTGGAATGTCCAACTAACTATATTGAACGATATATACAATCTAAAGGTTGAGACACAAAGTTGTTACGATTCTATTATGTATGACAAAATCAAACTCTCGCCAGACTCTTCAGACATCCAGGTCTTATGCTATAGATCAATTTGTGATATCGACGTACTGATTTCAGAAAAGTTGATGCCACTCCTCGGAAAAGTTGCTGTTGTATCATCGCTTGGGAGAAACAAGCAGATGTATTGGTTGCCTTATAACGACAGTGGAAATTTCATGCGGATGTCGTCTTTGTTTAATCTCTAATTTTGTCACCATTTTATGTTGTTTGTTGGCTTAAGATATTCAATTTTTTGATCTTAGTCATTAAACATATAAAAATAAAAAGATATTCAATTCTTTGGAGTGTCACTTTGATTTTTGAGGTGTAAAAAAGTGAATAAGTATCAAAATTATACAAATGTATTTTTGGTATAATTTATATATGTTGATACGTGATTTATCACAACAAATAAATCAACCCGTTTTTTGATCATAATTTGGACCATTTATGATAATCAAAAATCAATTTGTTTGGAAATTGATTAGTCGAAGTATACTGGAAGATACAAATTCTTAATTTCATTTTTTATTTTTGAAGAAAGACAAGACAATTTGTCTTCTTTGAGTTTGTATGTAAATGTGTCATAAAAGATGGTTTTTGTCAAAATATACTTTGCGTTTTGTTTGTTAAGAGAGTGTGTTATAAACCTGGTCTTGGGTAACGTGGTAACGAGTTTATCAAGCAAATTTTGTTTCATTGAATCGACCTCTAAAATAAAGTTTGTGTTAGTAGCTTCCATAACAGTTTTACATATCAAAGAAAACATTTTTTGGTCCATCGTGCCTCGAAGTCTCCAGTCACATCTCACAACATCGAGAACATTTGTTCCCTTTGCAATAAGACTCACAAAAATTGCGTACGAAAGTGCACATTTTTTCAAATTTGAATTTTGTAAAAACTCGTGTAAAAAATTAACAAAAGTATCATTGACAACACCTCTTATGTCAAGAGAAATAATATCAGCTCGACTGTCAAACAAGATACCTGCACTTTCAAAATCATCAGCGTTTTCAAAAATCAAATTGAAATGCAACGTTTGCTCTTCGGACTTCAACAAGACCAAAACCGCTTCGAAGGCGTGACACCTCACGTTTTTTAACTTTGGCAATAAAACCATCGTTTTTAAAACATCACCACTTTTCATGTCATGACTCTGCGTCTGCATGACATACAACGCACATTTTTTTGACACGAAGAGGAGTGTATATAATATGTTGACGCTTGAAATGTGTTCGACAATTTTTAAGAAAAGAAAGCCCTGAATCATTTTTGATAATATTTTGTTCTATAAATTTAAAAAAAATTTAGACTCGAATTTATATAGTATTTATTATTATTATTATTTAATTAAAAAAATAAGAAGAACTTGATTTTCAAAATGCCTGGCGACACACAAGTTTGTTTTCTTTTTGTTATTCAACGTCTCTGAAAAACAGCCAGCCCCACAGGGAAACAACAACAAAACAACACAGGACCTCTTTTTTGAAAATATAGAGCACATCGCTCCCGCTCCTTTGCCACCCTGTTGTGTCTCCCCACCAACTCAGCCACCACCTCCAATCCCAACTCAATAAGTTATTTTTAGTTTTACTGTTGGTGGTATTATTTGAACAATACGAATGTTTTATATCCAATTTATATTTAATTTATATTTAAAAATCGTTTAAACATGAAAATATTAAAATAATACCAACTGACAACCTAATTATGAACTTCGATACTCAGTAGTCACAATAAAGGAGGTCGCCTGGTAAACTGATTTTTCTTTGGTCTGCTGTGTAAAGTTCCAGCCCCACAGGATCACCACTTAGCTTCCCAAATACAGGCGGAATAGCTACCGAAAGCGAACCATTCAAAAATTTTGTTTGAAGAGTCTGTTTCCCGATCTTTGCAATAACACCTCCAGCAAGTCCTACACCAGTGAGAACCACAACAGACCCATTTTTTGGAATAACACACATGTTGATTGTTTTGATGACAGGGAGGGGAAGTTTCTTTTGCATTCGTTTCTCCGTTTTCTGTGTGTCACGTTAAAAGTTTTGAAACGTATTGAAAACAAACCTCAATTTGACCAACTAAATAGAACCCAAAAGTTCCACTAAAATTGGCAAGTGCGCGGATCATATTTGACTCCACAACAGCATCCGATTTGTACTGAAAACTATGGTTCTCTTTTTTAAGCGAGTCGACAACGGAATGGAGTTGTTTGATTGTTTTTTGCCCATCTTCACAAAGATGTATAATGGTTTCTTTATCTGTCGCATTGTCTAAACCTTTCTTAATTGCAATTACCTTTCCAGCTGCTTCAATGATACGAGCTCTTATCTCGATATTAAAATGATCATCTGATTGTACACGTTGAAGCACTTGACTTGCTTTCATAACATTGTAGACATCATAACACGTACAACACAAGTATAACTCTTTCTATAAGTGCGTGTGTTCTATCTTGTTTTGGTACATTTTTATATAAACAACGAGTTACTACACAAACTGATTTTAACTACTTCGCCAACTACAGTTTTGGGCTTTAGCTTCACTTCAAAAATACATCTCGCACAGAGCTTATGGCCACAACAACTGCATATTTTCCCAAGAACAGTCGTCGACTGCCCACAAACCGCACAAGTCCCAAATATTGCAGACTCGTTGTGTGGGACTCTTTTTTCTGTTTTGTAAAGTTGAATAAGACCTTCAAGTCGTTGTGATCTGTTATGGAATGCGGAAGCTGCCTTCGATCTACCCGTTTTGAAAGACTGCGTCCAGTCGCGAATAATCTTTGGCACTTTTGATGGGTGTTGTTGTGGAAAGAGCTGAAATTTCGACATCGTTTAAATTCTTTGTTTATGTCATCTGAGTCTTAAAAACGATAGAATTTGTCGTATACAATAGTCGAGGCAATTCTAAATAGTTGGGTGAATCAAATTTGTATTATTGTAAACTATTGGTAATAACTGGTAAGTATTGTCTGTGTCTGTTCGTAATGTTTGAACTATTATTATAGGAATACAAAATTATAATTATCTATACAGAGAGCCATGACAAATCCATTAAAAAACCGTTTAAATTTTCAAGGATTTGTACCATATATTTATGTCACTCACAAAGAACAAGTCATTTTTATTATCAATTATAGTAAATTAAATATATTAATAGTTATTAAAATTGTTTAACTTATTTTTTTCTATCAATCACCGAAATTGTTATGTAAAATGTTATGTGTTTTTGACGCAAGTTTTTTTAATTTGGTTATAGTTAAAAATATAGTATTAAATAGTACTATGTGTTGATAGGAGATGTTTTGTGAAAAAAAACTGTAACTTAGAAAAATCATAAAAGAATGTTTCTTGGCGTGGCCAAAGAAAATTTAGCCATGTACGTCGTTACGTTTCTGTTCCTACTCCTTGTTATGGTCTTTTCGATAATCGCATTTATACTCATAACAACAGAAAATGTTAGTTTTGATTATACCCAACCCTCTATTCTCGTCGTGAACAACATGTGATCCAACCGGTGTTAATTGATTTATCACTGTTTATTTTATTGTTTTTATTGTTTTTAATATCTTATGTATTGATGAAATACATCAGACGGTACACACTTGTCGTTTAGCTTTATAACAAGTTTACCGCAACACTTATTTAACATTACTATTTGTGTTAGTGGTGTGTAATAGAGTTATGTATTGTTACATTTTGCTCTTTACGAATGAAAAGAGTAGTTTATCTTGATGAGCTCTTGTTATTACCATTAGTCTTCAAACTACTAAAAATTTGAAACCAAAAACATTTTTTGTTTAATATGGTCTTATTACGGGATATATTGGGATTGTCTGGGTTTCATTTTCAAGTTTAGAAAACGTTCATAAGGAGTTGACCAAGATCTCAATAATCAAAATGTCGCAAGACCCACTTAACACACCCATTTTCTGTGGCATGGACTATGTCAAAACGTACGACAGAAACACTTTGGTTGCCGCCTATAAGCTTCTTAACATGTCGTACCAGATCTTATTGGAGATGCAAACTACTGGTCCGAGTTTGTTACTTTAAATACATATATTAAAAATAACGCGTAGAGAGTGTTGCTGAGTTGAAGCAAAAAATTGAGGAGAACACTGTGAATTTGAACAAAGTGATTCAAACAGCATCTGAGGAGACCACAAACAAAATCAAGCAGTTTGATGAACAAGAAAAGTCCCTTCCAGACCTTCTCCAAATGTTCGAAATTGCCCAGAAGCAGATTACAGAGAGCGTCTTGAGGCTGAAAGCGCAAGCAAAGGTTCAAAAAGAAGAGAACCAAAAACTGAAGGAGATGTACAAAAAAGTTCAGTCCTCACAAGAAGAAGAATTTGAAGGCCTCAGTGAAGAGGCGTCGAAACCACTTGAAGAGAGACTGGAGGTGTTGCAAAAGGAGAAAGAGAAGATTGCCGAGGAGGTTGGTGGGTTAAAAGAACAGTCACAACACAAAGAGGATTTGGCAAGGGTAGAGAGGGAGTTCAAACAAATAAAAGAGAAGCTTGAAAATGACACCAAAGATGTCCAACAAAAAATCAATGACAAAAACGCTGAAATCCAAAAAGTCCAAGGCGATGTCGACAAAACCCAAACGGAAATTAAAGCAAAAGATGTTCAAATCCAGAAACTCAACAGTGACATGATCCAAAAGGACATCGAAATCAAGAAGCTCAGAGCTGAAATCGAGGGTAAAATCGTCGACAGTTATGCGCTTTAATTCATTTTTTATCGAAGATTCCATGTTATTTTCATTACTTTTCAGAGAAACTGTGCCGACCTATAAGAAGTAACACTGTCAATATCAAGAAGGAAGTAATGGTAAATAAAACTATAAAAATACTAAACATCATTGATCAAGTTTTGATGTTTGATTGGTAAAGCTAATGCAATACATTTGAGGTAAAAAGACAACAAGAAGACAAAAAAGTTAGAATTTCAACCAATTTGATTCGAAACCTGAAATAGTGTCTGAGATCTGTCCCTTTATGGAGAATTTAGAAAACTGGGAAGGAAGGTTTCGATACGTCTTTTGGTAACGGCTTCCTGCATATCCTTCCCATCCAACAAACAATGACAACCCACACGCCTCTTTGTCGGTTTCTAAAGCTTTTTCACAGGTTGAGCCTTTGCTAAATGTCAGAGATATCACGGTGTTAACAAAAACAAACTAGTTATCCGCTTTAAAACTACAGAACGTGTTATTGAGACACTCGGATGAGGCACAATCATTACAAAATGTGTCCCAAGTAATCGCCTCCATACGGGAGTCGTTCAACTTGACCTTTGCAGAAATCAACTTTGGAATTGTCCCATTAGCGAACACTAACAATGGGGGTGAATAAATGTAATTGACATAAATTCTGCAGTACACATCCGTTTTTGATTTTGCAATAGTGTAGAAATTGGTGATTTTCACCTCAGACACCTCGTCGGTTGGAATGAGGAATGAGGCGCCGTCAAATGGTTCAGTGTACTCTGTTGTATTTGTTGTATTCTGTATGGGTAAGTTTCTAACTTGCCCATCTTTTTCGTAAAAAAGAACGAGCAAGCTACTTTTCTCATTATAATTGATTTTGTAATTGTTTTCCTTCAATCGTTCGAACACTTGGTCATACGAATCTCCAGTGTCCTTTGCCAACACTGCTGTAAGTAACACAATGAATACAACACACTTCATCTGCTTTTTGAGTTTTTTTTCGTTCCTAAACAAATAACATTTTAATACCAATTTTTATAATTTTTTAAGAATAGATGTTTTAGACTTTGTTTCCTAAAACTAAAGTTAATAAATTAGTGTAATTTTTTCTTTTTTATTTATTAAAAAGAAAGAAACAAAATTTTTATTTCATAACTTGGTGTAAAAAATAATTTTTTCTACCCAAATTACATTCAAAACTCCGATTTGTAAAGGAATAAAATAGCCCAAAAACCCGGAATAAATACAACAAACAAATAACTTTCTTGGGAAAAAACGTGGACATGCAAAATTGGGAAAACCTCATATACCTTTTTGTGTGTTTTACGACCTATTCAGCATTTCATCTGGCAGAAACACAACACGTGCGAGCCGCGACTTTTTGGGGATGAAGTAGTATATATCATCACCATTAGAAGGTAAAATCCATTGGAGACATTTTGCAAAGTAATCCTTGATGAGAGGTGTAAGAAAAGTGTTTGGAGTTAAATTGATATCATTGTCGAGGGGGTTTTCGATTGTCAACACCATGGGTTTGCTATAATCGATCCACCCCCTTGACTCCTTCTCGAAATAAGAACACGGTTTTCCAATGGAAATGCCATACCGCGTATAATCGAAGTCGTATCCAAAGTGTTGTAAGAATGTCACAAAGACACTTCCAAGGTCGGTATCTGGCTTTCCACCAGTGAACTTCCCTGTGTTGTACATGTCGAGAAACGAATAGACCATAAGCGTGATCATAAATGTGTTGAGCCCCCCAGATATCACACTTGTAAATCCGCCTTGGTGCAATAAATATCTAACCAATATGACAAGTGGCCGTAGCATCACATTTTGGTGGCACAGCCTCCCTACTAATTTTGTAGTTTCTATTCCCATGGTGTTCTCCATTGAAATATCTACATCTATGCCGTCTTGTGAACTCCGCAATTTAAGAAGGGGGACTCTTGCATATGGCAGCTGCAATACGGTAGTGCACACACAAGTGTTTGTGAGTGCGTCAGATATAATCGGGAAAATGACATCGGGGGGAAATTGTAAGAAGTACCCCCCAAGAGACATGTCGACGTCGCTAAACGGGAACGACAAATTTGTTTTGTACGATCCGTAGACAGTAATTGCGCTTGGGTTTCTCACCACAGAAAAGATTGCCTTTGGGGGGCATGTGTCGTTCTTTGTTATTGTGATAGAATCGATCACCTTTGACACCTCGTCTATCACTCGCTTCTTTGTTTGTTTTTCTTGGAATGAGTCTTGTACATATTTTACAAAAAAAGGTGATGTCGTCGTGAAGGGAGATATTTTTATGTTGATTGAGCTTTTCAAGCCAAGGGGGTGTAGTTGTTATTTGTGGGCTTGGGAATGTTTTAAGAATTCCAAAAACGGGGTCTTGAGAAGATGTGCCAAACATTAAGTGTATCCAGTTTCCTTTGAGGTTTATGAAAGCAGGTGATCTTGACAAAAATGTTTTTCGGTCTATTTTCTATAATCAAAATAACTATTTTTATAATTCTTTTTACCTACATATCAACATCTACTTTTATATGTGAAAATAAGTTGATAAAGCGAATGTTTACAATAAAAACTCCTTTATAATTGATTGAATAATAAAAATGTAGTAAATTTAATTAAAGTGTCGATTTAACCAAGAGAATGAACAAGAAAAGAATGATGAGAGGCAAAAAGAGAAAACCAAGACACTTTGCCATGTTGAAATACGCCTGTGTGTTAGTGCTTGCTGCAGTCTCCGCGTTTGTTTGAACGTTTCTGTTTTTGTTGACTCGAATTAAAGAATTAAGAGTTACTCGACTTTTGCAAATAGGACAATTTTCAGTTCTTCTTACCCACTCAGCAATACAGTCGTAACAAAAAGTGTGTCCACATGGCGTGACAGTACAGTCGACGATGTCGTCGTAGCAAATTGAACATTGCTTATTCATTTGTAGAAAAGATAAAATAAGATCTTTTTGGAACTTAAAAAGTAGAGAGGAGTTGCATGTGGTTATCCCTTTCGAGTATTATCAATTTTGTGTTGGATTACGGGTTTGCCCTTTTGGTGTTAGTTATTCTCGTTGGGTTTTGCGTTGCGAGTGGGATGTATGTCTTCTCACTTTTCGTTGAAGAACGCCCGTCACACGCCAAAATGATAGTCAAAATCCTCGTAGTAGGGTCATTATTGCAAACAATTCTTTGTCTTAGATTTATCCCTTGGTATGTTGTGTGGATTAATATCATAGGACATATCATTTACTTAATGGTTTCCAACGAGATCCCATACATCAACTACACCTCCCCCATTTTCTTTGCGGGATGTGTTACTGCTGTCTCTTCACATCTTGCCTTTGCTATCCACTTCATCCTCTCACCACATTGGGAATTCTGGAGACTTCTCTTGGTGAACATTTACACCCTTTGGACAGTCCCTCTGTTGTTGGTGTGCTCAGCAGTTACGGCCCCTGAGGCTCTTGTTGGGGCTGGTGAAGACGAAAACGTACATAGAAGCTTATTTGCTCGAATGCTTAAAAAGCTCTTTGGTAAAGCCGCTGCCTTCGTAGAAAAAATGAATTGATTTTTTACTATTTCATGTTATAAGAAAGTATAAAATATAGTTTTTTGGTGTGTAAAAGGAAACTTAACTTTAAAAAAAAGAGTAACTCGAAAAAAAATGGTGTTGTGTGTTGTTCTTCTGTTTGTTATAGTCAGCGCGTATCCGCCGCCTGTTCAAATTAAAGACGAAATTCAGATTCTTCAAAACGTGACGAAGAATTCTATTATTCAGAATCACATGAAATATACAAAAAGAGATACAAATCGACACGGAATCCCAATATACGCAAGGGTCGCAAAGTATCACGAAAGAACACAAACAACACTTCCTATTTTTGCACATAAATTCAAAGGAATCTTTTTCGAAGAAATTGTTATTCGATCTATTAACGACAAGATTGTCATTCAAGACAACAACCCATATAAAAAAGTGGTTTTCAACGCTTCAAATTACGTTGTTTTAAAGACGGAGCTGGATTACATCACATTTTCCGAAGATATTTATAGAGAGTTGTGGGGGTTTCTCAGCTTTTATCAAGGCGTCTTATTTGACTCAACAATTCCAACAGATTTTGTTGTTCAAGCAACAAACAAATTCCCAAAGATGTTCGATTCTTTCAAACTCATAACAACTGATGATGACCCCAAACCATTTTTGAGGATATGTAAAGCTGTTTTCATTGACACACAGTTTTACGACAAACGGGCAGTGTCGTACCAACCTCTACAACCACTCGCCTGGATAGAAAATTCATACAATTTGAAGTTTGACAGTTCTATTAAGAACGGAGGGTTTGTTTTGGATTTCGAAGGGAAGACATACTGCAAACATAGTACAACCCATACCGCAAATACCGCTTTTCTTCTCTTCATTAAAAAACTGAATGTTACTTTCACATACCACAAGGCATCACATGAACACTCTTGTGAAGCTGAAATAAAAAGCGATAAATTCATGGACGATTTCTGTACTACAAATTACCCCACCCCATTTTCAATTAATGAGAAACTCGGACTCGCACAAAAAATCAATTGTTCTGTGCTTTGCAGTGATTTTGGTGCTGCCCTCGACTTCTTTTTTGACGTTTTATGATTTACTTTAGTTGTATAGTTCATTGAAAAGTTATAAAAATTGGTGGAATTCTACTAATAATAAAAAATAAGTTATATAAGAACTTTAAAACCAAAGAGTGATGTCGAAACCACGGCCACCTAAGAGTGTACGAACAAAACAACAATTTGTGGCAGTTGCAAAATTAAAGCTTGCTGTGGCACACCCCGAGTTGGTTGAATTCCACGACGCAAACTCACGTGAACCCGAGTTGTTAATCGAGTTGAAGTCGATGAAAAATGCTGTTCCAATCCCACAACATTGGTGTCAACGGAAACGGTTCTTGTCAGGGAGGAGAGAAAAAGAAGCGTACCGATTGCCTGACTACATCGAAGCAACTGGTGTAGGACAACTTCGGCAGGCATATCTTGATCAGGAACAAGACCTCAAAATGAAACAGAAGATGCGCGAGAAGATGCGTCCAAAGACGGTTGGTTGCATCGATTACCAAATTCTGTACGACGCTTTCTTCAAAAACCAGAAAAAGGAGAAAATGACGCAATTTGGCGAACTTTACTTTGATGGGAAGGACGAACAGAAGTACACGGGAACACCATTTAAACTCTCATCACAACTGAGAGTTTGTTATTATTTCCTTTTTTTTGAAAAACAACTGACACACAGGAGGCGCTTGGAATTGGAGAAACACAAACACCCCCTTGGGCTGATGCAATGCGTACTTACGGCCCACCACCCGCTTACACTGATTTGATTGCTGAACTCAATAATTCGTAAATATCGACACCTTAAAAATCTTATTTACTCTTTTAAATAATTAAAGAAACAAGGCTTTTAACATTCTTGTTCAATATAATATAAACATATTTTTTAATGGTATAAAAAGGAACCTATTCTTTTTTGGTAATTTTAATTATATAAAATAGTTTCAAAAATTGAATAATAGAAGTAATTACAACCATAATAAACGAAAAAGACAAGTGTTTGGAAAAGTAGATCAAAAAGAACTGAAAAATTGAAGCAATGCTTGTGTTAAGTCTTCTGTTTGTTTCAGTATTTGCAGACTGCAAAATACGAGGCGTTGATTATTCCAAGTTGACCCGCAAATCAAACGACCCATATCATATCTCATTCCCCGAATTTGAAGCAAAATTCAACGTCTGTGGTGATGTTGACGGACTTGGAAATGCTGCGACTGGGTCTTCAGGTGCAAAGGTCTACTCTCTTGGGCTTGTCCAAAAACAAGAGGCTATCACCGACAATAACGGAAATGGGTTTAAATACACAGGTGGAGATACCTGTAAAGCAGGCTTCAAGTGGTCGTCGACTGTGTATCTGGAGTGTCAAGACATTCCTGAGGACAAATATGAGGTGATGAATTTGGTTGTCGACAAATGTTACGTTGAATTTAAAATCAAAGGACCTGGTGCTTGCGCCTCGGACGAAGTCCCTAAAGAAAAATTGGCGACGATGTGGATTGTTTTCATTTGCATTGTCTGTTTATTGGCAATTATTTTTGCTGTGTTTGGTATTTGGTGTCTCATCAACTTTTTGGTGGGAAGAAGAGGTGCAGCCATTTTGCCTCTTTATGCTATAATACACAAACCAAACGAATTGCCAGTGAGCGGGGAAGGCGAGAAGAAAAACTTGATCTAATCTGTGCCACATTCAATTTACTATTACTTATCATTTGTTTCTAGTCATCGTTTTTCAACAAATTTGTTCTTGCATAAAAAGATAGGAAAGAGTCAATTGATACAGAATAACTTACTTTTTTGTTTCCTTTTTAAACTCGTTGGCAAGATTCACCTCACAAATACGGTTGGCTATTTCACTCAAGACAGAATCTACAACAGACCTACACGTGTCTGTTGTTACTTTTCTTGTGATCCTCTTCGCTTCAACAGAAGGCTCTTTCCTTGGCTTAAAAACCTCTTTGTTTTTTGTGGTTTCGATTGGTAAAGGAGGTAAATCATCGTCTGAGACGTTGATGTCATCTTCAATTTTTTTCTGAATTGTTGACAAAAAGTGAGTGTCTTGTTTGAGAGAAAGACCAATAAAAAAGAAAAGAGGTTTATCTGTGTACTCTTTGTGCTGCTCTGTAAAATGCTTGTAAAGTTTATTGTTTTGAAGAAACGAGTTGGCGAAAACTGCTTTTCGTGGGTTAGTCAGTTGACAAATCAAACAAACGGGTTTTTGGACTGAATTTTCCGTGATATAGGAGAACCCATATTGGAGAAAATAGTTCTGATATTTTCTGACGCGCTTTGTTTTAACTTGTTGCTCGCTGTGGTTTGGCTTTGGGGCCTTTCTCAACGGTGAAACTCTCTGGTCTTCGAAATTTCTTGATTTTGAGTCATCAGTGAGTTCAACAGTTTCATGAGAAGATGAGTTAAATGTTTGTGGTTGATCAGCGAATTCTTTGTTTTGTGGCGTGCATATCATTTCCATAAAGTTTACCATTTTGAGTTATATTCAGTTATTTTTGATGTTTTGATTTATTTTTGCAATACATTTACTTTTCTACAAAGTTTAAGGATTATCTTTTAATTTATATTATTAATTTGTGTACTATAATATAACTATTATTTTAGTTATAAGTTACCAACTTTACAATAGTTCTTTTAAGTTTTTACAAATAATTTTTTTCAATGTTTAACTTAATTGAGAAATTGTTTTGGTGAAAAAAAGGGTTTTATAAGACTCAAATATAAAAAAATGAAAGAAAGAAATAAAAGGGAAACACAGTAATAGTATTAAATTTTTTAATGAAATGATTATAGAAAAATATCAGATGGCTGAACCAAGTAGTGGTGTGCTACCAGAGAAAATTTATGGTTTGTTGTAATGAACGAATAAAAACACTCTAATTTTCAGACCGCCACGAAAAGCGCGCTAACGTGTTTTGGGATAAGTTCTACAAAAAGCGGCGAGGGTTTATTGCTTCTTCAAAAGAGCGAAATTGGATGTGTAGAGAATTTAAAGAAATTGTGTATGACCCACGAGACACTATTGATGTGTTTGAAATTGGGTGTGGTCTTGGGAATTCAATGGTCCCTCTTTTGAGGGTTAATCCATCTCTTAAGTTTTATGCGTGTGATATTGCACAGAGTGCTGTTGAAGTCGTGAAAAAAGACGAATACCTACATGACTACTTAACAGCATTTGTGCATGATGTCACTTTACCGATTCCCCAAGAAGTAATGCCATCATTTTCCGTCGACTATTTGTTACTTGTGTTTGTGCTCTCCACCATTTCACCAACAAAATTTATGACAACCCTCAAAAACTTGGACGAGGTATTAAGGCCAAACGGGGTGTTTTTTTTCAGAGATTACGGGATGGGCGACATGAAACAGGAAATATTCGAGAATCGTGGGAACAAACTGTCAGAGAGGTTTTATTTAAGACAAGATGGAACACGAATTTATTTCTTTTCATTGGAAGAGACACAGAACTTTAGAAAGGAATTGAATTACGATATTATCGAGGAAAAAATGGTTACAAACACAAACATCAATCACAAGAAGCAACTTACAATGGTCAGGAAATACATTCAAGCCAAGTGGCGGAAGCCAACAAAATAACACCATCTCGATTATGTGGGGTGTGTTTTGCTTGAGTTAAGATAATTTAGTTTTTAAACTATTATTTGTTATTTTCGAAGTTGTGTTACAAGTCATATTTCTTGTTTTTCTTAATATCTGAAAATTAAGGAGCCTATCCGCAATACCCGAAGTAATCACAAAAATTTATTAACATAGGTTTAAAAAACAGTAAAAAGTCATCACAAAGTTTAAATTTAATTACCAGCCATCTTGAGAGCAAAGCCAGAAACAATTGGGAAAGCAACAAATTCTTGGGACTGAGCTTTGATAAGAGCCATAACCCAGTTGAAGACCCAAATGCAGAACCAGATCAAAGATATAATCGCACAGAGAATACCAAAAATGGTTGCAACAACTCCACCCACTCTGCAGATCGCACCAAAGATTACCATGATTACCCACATAATACAGTAGATAATACCCCAAATTATTGCGTTTGCTCCATGGGCTTTGCAGTATGTATTGGTCTTTTCTAATAAAAAGACAATGAGACCTCCAATTAAGCCAAAGAACTCTGCGAGAAAAGACTCGACTATTACTGGTAATCCACAAGATGTGTCACTCATTTTATTTTTTAGTTCGACTGCAGTTATTAATTATTTTTTTGTATTATATTTATTATATATAGTTATTTTATAATTTTAGAATGGTTTAAAAAGTGTCTCTTTTACTTGATAATGGTGTTATCTCAAAAAATAACTAAAAAACATGATTTGACATAATTTGCTTTTGAAAAAGTATATAATATTCATATAATAATTTTTTATAAATATGTTTTAGTAACGAAAGTGGAAAAAAACAAACGTATGAAATTGTGTTTTGAAACGTCATTTATTTCTAAATTAATTTTCAAGAACCAATATCGAAAAAATAACCTGTTTATTTTTTTCCTTGGCAAATTCGCCTTATTTTTACCATTGATAATACTTTACCCGTTTTTTCTTGAAAACAGACCTAATATAACCAAGTTTATAAAAACAGAAAAATGAGTATTGGGATAGTAAAATTTTACTATTATGAATAAGTTATTTACAAAAAATATAGAGGGCGAAAATAACCGCTGGTTTGAAAAACCTCTGGGATCTAAGAACTAGCATTGTCTGGTAAAGGTTGGAATTTCAATAAAAAAACAAAAACGTCAAAAACGTTGTATAATTGCGTATTGACATAAAAGTTGATTTTGCCTCTGAAATTTCATTCATTGTTATAATAAATTTTGTTAGTCTTTTTTAATAAATAATTTCCCGAAATATGGCCAAATGAAAAGCCAAAAATAAAAACCATTAAAAATAAGAAATAATGGCGTAATTAAAACGAAATGTTAGCCAAACTTTGCACTAATTAATGGGATAGAAAAAAACTGTTGTTGTGTAAAAACCCGTTTTTAACATGAAAATACTAATAACATATCAAACAAAAAACAAGTAAAACAATAATTTTTAATTGTAAAACTTGTGTTATTTTATTTATTTGTAAAACACAAGAGGAAATAAAACAGGAGAAATATAATGTTTGATTCTATTCTGAAACAACCCTCAAATGTCAGCATGTAAATGATGTTTGAAAGTGTTCAGTTCAATAAAGAGCTCTTGTTAAACTTCTGGTTGTAGTGAATAAAATAGTTGCGAATATTGTTTGTGAAAAAATAAAGAGTATTGCCAACTGAATAGAATTTCCAAATAGTTAAACCAAAGACTAAAACGAAAGTTCATAGTAGGTTTTTATATCGTAAAAATAATAAGTCAATGTTAATTGTAGAGAACATTGTTGATAGTCATTAATATGCAAATTAAAAACATGGAATTGTTTTAATCATATAAATTTTATATTTCACGTATTTAGCAACAGATACAAGCACAATATATTATTATAATTGTTATTACAATAGTAATATTATATAGTAAAATCAACAGATATAAATTCTCAGAAATAATGTCATTGTTTCGAAAACTCGACAATAGGCGAGTGGCCCACTTACCTTGTTTATTGCCACAGATTTTAATTGTTTTGGAATTAATTATTATTAAACTTTATTAAACTATCGTTTACTCGCCACCCAATTATTATATTCAAAATGGTTCAATTATAATAATATTTTTTTGTTTTTTGAAAAACAAATAAAAGTCAATCAATTTGAATTAATTCTGAGACTTTTGAGAGAAACATAGAATAATCTGTTTTGTCAAACATTTCTAACAAATGAGGATCCGGCACTTTGTCTTTACAAGCTAATACACTAATTGCATATATCATCCTATATCCACAGCTCCAACCATCACTCTTTTGTTCAACTTTGATTATTTCTACTTTTACTTTCTTTCTTATTTTTTTGTATGAATTCGATCATTTCTTTGTGCGAGTAAACATCTTCATTATTCAACGAATCAATAAGATAAAGAGTATCAGTTGAAATAATCCATACCATCAAAGACCAATGGACGTTTCCTTGATTGCAGGGAATAGGTATACAAGTTTTAAGGTTATTTTCAATAATACTGTTAACATTATGATTGCCCAAAAGCAATTTTGTTAGACCCGTGATTGTAGTATGAGAGTCTTGCTTTTTATGAGCAACAACCATTGTAAAAGTATAGTCAGGACAAATATACACATCTTTGTTTATAAGTGGTGTCATATTTATAACCCATCTTTCCAATAAATTACTATCCAACAGACCAAGA